GCTGTATGCCAGTGCCGGATGAATGCCTGCTGTGCCAGCTTTATGCCAAATCTGGGCCAGAATTCTTTGCTACTAGGGATGCTTTTCCTTGTTAGATTCGTCTGTTTTATATTTACTTAGTTGAGTCTTGTTTCTAGTCCAGATATCTACAAATTCTTCAGACAAGAAGCATTTTCTAGACAAAAAAAATATTGTCTTTAAAAATTCAACTCTACTGTTGAGAAAACTGACTTTTACTGATATTTCAGTCATTTAAAGTAATAATATAATGCATAATAAATAATATAGAGAGAAATAAGTCTGTAAAATAACAGAAAATGTGCTGCAGTTTATTACAAGGCTTCTTTATTGTGATATGCAACACCATCCCAGACAACATAGCACTGCATATTTTTTGGCTATTTTTTTGAGTGTAGTCTACCCCAGGGGTTCTCAACTGGTTTGGCCATGGGACCCACATTTTTACATGGTCATCAGGCCGCGACCCAAATTTTTAGGAACTATAATATAATTTTAGAAATTATAATTCATTTGTATTTAGATACACTAGTTGTGTATGTATAGATTTAACATACACAACAAGTGACAGATAAATTATAGGAAAATCACCAAGACTAACAAATAAACAATATTTTACTGCTGTCATTTAAGAAAATGTGTCAAATTATAGAAATATTACAAAGTAAAAATGTTAAATACAGTAAACAGTGGTTAGGGTAAGGAAAAGTTAAGTTACTATTAACTAAACTCAACTGTTTATAAAACATTAACCCTGATCTGGCTGAACTGAACAGAAACCAGCAAACTGAAGTAAAATTATTAAAACAATCATAACCATTTATAATAATCACCAGTTATTTGCTGTTCTGCTTTTGTGTGGGCTTTCTTGGTCTTTGCTACACGGTGAGCACAGTAAGATGTACTTGTAGTTCTTTTGAACATGAATATGTTCGGCACTTTTGTGATGCCCTCAGCTTTTGGAGTCGTCTTGGAAAATAGTCCACAGGTTTTTCCTTGCAACTGGGATGTTTGGTTTCTAAATGTCGTTTTAATTTAGGTTTCATGCTCTCTTGTGAAAGCACCTCACTACATATGACACACTGAGGTTTTAAGCCTTTTTTGTTGTCAAAATATGTAAATCCACACTTTATATATTCGGGGTCGTAATTGCGCTGGAATTTTACATGTCAAAGGGTTATATGCAGAGCGAACGTTAGTGTTTTTCCCATACAGATAAACTTTCCGGTGACCTTGTGAACTTTTTTCCCATTTTATACGGTTCCTTTTACAGCATCGATGTTGTAATGTCATTAAAATGCATTCAGTTAAATAAACTTTGGCATTCATTTAGTTGCTCAATCGTAAAACAAGACAAAAAACAGTTTACTCGCACGCGCCCGTCAGAATCGGCAGGCTAACGTTAGCGCAAAAGCTCCATTGAATATACTGGGGTAAAATAAATGCTCATATTATAAAAACATGGCAGGGGAAATGTAATTTTATGCAGTGCTTCTTTTACAATCTGAGACCCACTTTATATTGGATATCACTCAGCTAGTGGAGATTGCTGATTTTTTAAAAGAAAACACCATAAACGCCCCGTTTTTTGCACTGCATACAGTTCGTCGAGAGTGCTTAACCCAGGTTACTTGCAAATTAAAAGTCCCGTACGGTTGTCACATGTGCATTTCAAAATAAAAGTCCGATATAAGCAATATTAAACTTTTGTTGTTTTTTTGATCACCCACTGAAAATGTTCCCGCGACCCACTTTTGGGTCACGACCCACCAGTTGAGAAACACTGGTCTATCCAACACTGACAGCAGTAACCCATGCTTGTGTTTCTCTTTCCTGTGGTTCAGAGGTTGCAGACTCTGATTCCCACTGAAGACGAGCTGAATCTGATAAAGGAGGCGAAGGCTCGGGCCCCGTGTTCAGCTCTGGGCTCCGCAGAGCAGTGTCTCCTGACCCTGGGGGACGTCCCTCATCTGAGGGCCAGACTGCAGCTCTGGGCATTCACACTGGACCATGACACACTGGAGAGAGTGAGCATTTATATAAAATAATAAGCTTAGATTGGTTAGGAAAATCTGAATAGAGCTTGTCATTACTGTTTGGGTATAAAATAATTATATTATTTTCAACTCTATTATCTACAACTGTGTTATCGTCAACTCTGTTATCTACAACTGTGTTATCGTCAACTCTGTTATCTTCAACTCTGTTATCTTCAACTCTGTTATCTTCAACTTTGTTATCATCAACTTTGTTATCATCAGCTCTGTTATCGTCAAATCTTTTAACTTCAACTCTGTTATCTTCAACTGTTATCGTCAACTCTGTTATCTACAACTGTGTTATCGTCAACTCTGTTATCTTCAACTCTGTTATCTTCAACTTTGTTATCATCAACTTTGTTATCATCAGCTCTGTTATCGTCAAATCTTTTAACTTCAACTCTGTTATCTTCAACTGTTATCGTCAACTCTGTTATCTTCAACTGTTATCATCAGCTCTGTTATCTTCAACTGTTATTGTCAACTCTGTTATCTTCAATGCTGTTATCTTCGACTCTTATCATCAACTCCGCTATCTTCAACTGTTATTTTCAACTCTGTTATCACCAACTTAGTTGTCTTCAACTTTGTTATCTTCTACTTTGTTGTTCTCAACTCTGTTATCAACAACTCTGTTATCGTCAACTCTGTTATCCTCAACTCTGTTATCCTCAACTCTGTTATCTTCAACTGTTTTCGTTAACTGTTATCTTTAACTCTGTTATCTTTAACTGTTATTGTCAGGTCTATTATCGTCAACTCTGTTATCTTCAACTGTTTTAGTTAACTGTTATCTTTAACTCTGTTATCTTCAACTGTTATTGTCAGGTCTATTATCGTCAACTCTGTTATCGTCTACTCTGTTATCGTCAACTGTTATTGTCAACCTTGTTATTTTCAACTCTTATATTCAACTGTTTTCGTTAACTGTTATCTTCAACCCTGTTATTATCAACTCTGTTATCTTCAACTCTGTTATTGTCAATCATGTTATCGTAAACTCTGTTATCTTTAACTTTGTTATTATCAACTCTGTTATCGTCAACTGTTATCATCAACTTTGTTATTTTAAACTCTCTTAACGTCAACTCTGTTATCTTTAACTCTGTTATTTTCAACTGTTATCGTCAACTCTGTTATCCTTAACTCCGCTACCTTTAACTCTTTTATCATCAACTCTGTTAATCAACTGTTATCGTCAACTCTGTTACATTCAACTCTTTTATTATCAACTCTTAATTAACTGTTATTGTCAACTTTTATTTTCAACTCTGTTAACTTCAACTCTTATATCTTCAACTCTGATATCTTCAACTCTGATATCTTCAACTCTGTTTTCGTCAACTCTGGTATTTTCAACTCTCTTAACGTCGACTCTGTTATCTTAACTCTGTTATTTTCAACTCTGTTAATGTCAACTTTGTTATCTTAACTCTGTTATTTTCAACTCTGTTAACGTAAACCGTTATCTTCAACTCTGTTATTGTCAACCCTGTTATTTTCAACTGTTTTTGTCAACTCTGTTATCTTCAACTCCATTACCTTTAACTGTTATTGTCAACCTTGTTATTGTCAACTCTGTTATCATCAACTCTGTTATCTTCAACTCCATTACCTTTAACTGTTATTGTCAACCTTGTTATTGTCAACTCTGTAATCTTCAACTCCATTACCTTTAACTGTTATTGTCAACCTTGTTATTGTCAACTCTGTTATCTTCAACTCTGTTACCTTCAACTGTTATTGTCAACCTTGTTATTATCAACTCTGTTTTCTTCAACTCTGTTATCTTTAACTATCTTTCACCTCATGTTTACATGCATATATTTGCAAACAGGAAATTGCAGAGCCGCTCTTTCATCTGAAGCTCGCCATGGAGCAGCTGGCGACCAATCAGACGTTTCGATGCATCCTCGCAACTGTGCTGGCCGTCGGGAACTTCCTAAACGGCTGTAAGGTCAGTATGATCAAAGAGCTTGGAATGACCAAGAGGCGACACTCTAGTGTAATTTGGGAAACAGCCACTAGAGGGCGCGGCTGCCATTTTGGAATAAAAACTCCAATAGAACAACAGTATATTATAAGTCTGTAAAATAAACTATTAAAAGTGCTGATGATTGTGATAATAAGTGTTGTATTGTCGTCTTTCAGGTTGTATCTCAGCTTTAATACGCTTTTTAAATAGATAAATAAAAAACAAAGCAGCTGCTTGCCATCGCAAAAGTAATGAGATCCAATGGACGGCCGATCACTTTCACTCCAAAATGGCGGAATCCAGGCCTGTTGCTGGGTGCTGCTGTTGCAATGGAACGTTCTATTGAGTGTCGCCTTTTGGTCATTCTAAGCTCTTTGGTATGATTATGAAGAAAGATGTGTATGTCACACCTTAAAATCACTTTTAAAAGGGGTTTAAACACAATTGTGTGTCAGCAGTGTGTGAATATAACCAGTCTCTAATGATAAACATTATATGTTTTTATAATTACACCTGATGAAAACAGTCTGCAGAAACACTTTGATTGACAATCTCCCTTTTTACGTGTCATCGGAGGAGGAAAGCCCCGCCCACTAGTGACCACTCTCCCTAATTAGCATAAACAGCCTTTTTCAAACAGATGATGTTAGTGCTGCTTTTAATCTGCCACTATGCTGACACACAGGCATTTGTAGCTCCGCCCTCATTTGAAAAAGAGTACAATCTCATTTGAATTTAAAGTGACCATCACTAAAACGCCACAATTAGGATCAAAGTCTAAAAGGGTCAGTTTCAGAGAGTTCTATAACATTATTTGTGTGGTATTTTGAGCTGAAGCTTCACACACACACACACACACACTGTAGGGACATCAGAGAATTATTTTACCTCAAAAAAAGGGACATGACAGGACCCCTTTAATTATCACATCTAACGTAATGTGATGGTTTGTGTTTGGTGCAGGCCAAAGGGTTTGAGTTGAGTTACCTGTGCAAACTCTCTGAGGTGAGAGACACTCACGGCCGACAGCCTCTCCTGCATCACGTGTGTGTGTTACTGCTCCAGATGTACCCACAATCCTCTGATCTCTACTCTGACATCACTGCAGTCACAAAAGCCAGCAAGGTACAGTACGTGCTTGTGTTTTGTGCTAGAAATGTTGCTCTATTTGCAAGTAATGTATTTAGATGAACTACAGATTTAGTAAAAATACTATTTTAAATGTAAGGAATGAAGAGTCATATTGTCCGATTCCAAATGAACCTGAATCATAAATCTTGTGCCTAAATATTGGACGATGTGAAACATGTATTGTTCTCTGATGAGCAGGGCTTAATTTGTGCCGGAACCTATGAAATCTGATCCAGCACCTCATTTTACCGTTCCCTCTCCGCACCAAAACCTCACCCCCCCATTCTTCACTTTCTTCCGCGACAACCCCCTTACCTTCTCCACCACCCTCCACCCCTCTTCCTCCTCCACTCTTTGCTTTGGTTTGTGACCTGAACACCATGAGGGCAGCACGACCTTTGTTTGCCTTGAGCGCCAGTTACGCTTGCGTCTGTACTGACATGCACACTATAAAACAGGGGTTCTCAACTGGTTTGGCCATGGGACCCACATTTTTACATGGTCATCAAGCCGCGACCCAATTTTTTAGGAACTATAATGTTATTTTAGGAATTATACTTAATTTGTATTTATTTGTTAACATAAACAAGAAGTGACAGATACATCACAGGGCTCGAAATTGCGACCATTTTGGTCGCATATGCGCCCGAAAATTAATCAATGCGACCTCATAATATATTTGGGCGCATTAGTGCGACTGCAGATAATGGTTGTAGTGCGACCTGTTTTGATTTTTTGTAAAAACGTGCTGAATCGCTCTTCCCTGCCGCTATATTGGTTCATATTAGCTGTCATTCACTCAAGGTATTCCGCTGTCAGATGACAGGGAAGGAGCTTTTATGACCACGGGAAATGCAAACGGCTGAAGAGTGAAAACTTAAAGCACACAGGTTTGCAAACTCCACCTAAAGTTGAGGTGCAGATGAGAGCGATCATGACACGTCACGTGGTGAGTAATGATCCACCAGCTGAGATCAATCGAGTACGCGCTTCTTGGAGAAGGCGCCCGAATCTCCATGCGTTGCATTCACTGCGTGTTCAGCGCAAATGTCCGCTAAAAGTCAAATCTAATACTGTACATATCATCGCCAAAGAAGCTCGCCTTTGCTAAGTTTACACTGAAACTGCAGCTCATAACAAAGAGCGGTTTTGCGCCGGTGGTCACCGCAAGAATCCTGCTCTGCCTGCTCATAAATTGGGTCGACTGACTCGCCAGCTTTTCCACTAACACAGAAAAATGAAGATCAGCTCAGACTGAACCTTTAAATTGACACAAAATGAAACCAAATCTTTTAAAGTAATAGAAGTGAGACTTTCTTTCTTTTGTCTATTCTTTTTTGAGGTGTAAATTATTTTTATTTTTTATTTATTTACTGATGACTGTTTTGCAGCTTTCATCATTGAATTGAATGATTTATTATAATCTTTTGTTTGTTTTGTAGCAGAAATATTATTTATTAAATTGACATGCATATAAAACAGCAGCACAAAATCAATATTTCTTACTGCAATGCTTCATTTTTGTTTGATGCAAACAATTATTTTTCATAAAGTAACAGACTTTTTATAGCAGATAACCTACATTCATGCACATTCAAGGCAGCATCATAATGAGAAATGTAATTCATTGTTACTATTATTGTCATTTTCATCATCACTAATATTCTATAGCCTAATTATTAGACATTCATTTTGGAATTATTGCACACAAATATCAATGTCTTCGCAGCATTAGTCAGATAGTTGTTTCTGGTTTTTGTTAGTCCTAATTGATGTTGTTTTAAAATACAATAAATCCCTTAAAAAGCAATTTGCAGCTGTGCTCATTCATTTTTGGTGGGTGCTCCTAAATTTTTTCTGGTGCTCCTAAATTTATTTTGGTGCTCCTAAATATTTGAAGTTGGGAGCACCGGCGCTACCAAGTAAAAAAGTTAATTTCGAGCCCTGCATCATAAGAAAATCACAAAGACTTGCAATTAAACACTGTTTTATTGCTGTCATTTAACTAAATGTATCAAATTATAAAAATATTACAAAGTAAAAACAACAAATACTGTTAATAATAAACTGTTAATAAAACATGTTTTCTGGTTTCTAAATGTTGTTTTAATTTAGAAGGTTTCATGCTCTCTTAGAAGAGCACCTCACCACATATGACACTGAGGCTTTAAGACTTTTTTTGTCATCAATGTATACATCCATACTTTACATATTCGTGGTCGTACTTGCACTTTGACATATTTGTTGCAATAATTAAATGAAATTTCACATGTCCAACGGTAGGGTTGTCGCGCACGCATTTCAAAATAAAAGTCCCGCATAAGCAAAATAAGTAAAAAATTTAACTTTTGGTTTTTTTTAATCACAGACTCCGCGACCCACTGAAAATGTTCCCACCAGTTGAGAAACACAACTATAAAAGATACTAATGCAAGCTGTTATACACTTACATAGGCCCACCAATTTGATTGCGCAAATGTTCTGTTACCTCTCCCTCTGGTAACAAGCAGGATCCATTACCCTGATCTGTTCCGGGACCTCACTATTTACAAATAAAGCATTGCTGATGAGTCCACCTTCACTGTCTTTCCCACATCTGGAAGAGTTACGGTGTGGAGAAGCCTCAAAGAAGTGTCTCACTCGGACTGTTGCATGCCCAGAGTGAAGCATGGGGGGATCAGTGATGGTTTGGGCTGCAATATTATGGCCTTCTCTAGGCGAAATACTTGTGCAAGATGGGAACTGAACCATTCTGAATGAGCATCGGACCCAATGAGTAAATCATTGTATCCTGAAGGCAGTGCCATGTATCAGGACTATATTGCTCCAATACACACAGCAAGACTGGTGACAGAGTGGTTTGATGAACATGAAAGTGAACATCTCTCATGGCCTGCACTGTCACCAGAACTAAACATTATTGAGCCACTTTGGAGAAGCAAGCCAGGAAACATTTTCCTCCACCAGCATCACGTGGTGAGCTAAACACTATTCTGCAAGAAGAGTGGCTCAACATCACTCTAGCTGCTGTGCAGGACTCGTATCTGCCATTCCCAAGACAAATCGAAGTTGTGTAGGCTGCATATGGAGGCTCTACACCAGGGGTCACCAAACTTGTTCCTGGAGGTTCGGTGTCCTGCAGGTTTTGGCTCCAACTCTTATCAAACACACCTGAACAAGCTAAACAAGGCCTTACTAGGTATACTTGAAACATATTGGCAGGTGTATTGAGGCAAGTTAAAGGGTCATGAAACACCAAAACACATTTTTTGAGCCGTTGACAGTTGTATATGTGTCCCACACTGCTAAAAACACTATTAGGACACCTATATCTCACTAAAAAGTGAAAATTGGTTGTTTTTGCGATATTTCGAGCAAATTTGTACTTCCGGTTCGAAACAAATTTTTGAAGCTGAGTCACGGCCATGAGATCTTAGCCTGTATTCCAGCGTGTTTACTGGACGTCTGTACCTGGGAGAACTGTATTATGTCTCCAAGTGTGCTGCAATAATGCATGACTAATGCTTGGTTCAGCAATAACGTTACATGTCTAAGGAACATTGTTTACCCTAGAGCTTTTCTCAACTGCAAATGGTGAGATCCGGATTTGCTGATCGTCTCGTCTTAATATCTTAATAAAGACGCGGCTCTACCCTAGTAGCAAAGAATTCTGGCATAAAGCTGGCACAGCAGGCATTCATCCGGCACTGGCATACAGCATGTGGGCCAAACATGGCCCGGGTTTGGCAGAGGTGGCACCGTCTTTAAGGCGGCACACAAGATTTGGGCCAGATGAAAAACGTAGTATTTGGCCCAGATTTAAAAATTTGATAAGTGGGCCATGTGAGTTTGGCCAGTCTTGACCCACATTTAAAATACACTAAAATCATTTTTGAGTAAAGAAAAAAAATTCTACCAATCAGGTCACTTTGAGAAAAAGCGTGCTCATAGTGTGCCTAAAGCGCATCACTCCATGGGTTTATCAATTTCATTGCAATCGTGACACACTAACCTATCTGGCCCAGTTCAGGCCCAGTTATGAGTTATTAACTTGGCTGAGACTTGGCCCAGATATGGTCTGTGTTTGGCCCTTGTCTGGAAGCCAGATTTGGTCCAGTCATGTACCGTAATTCACTGCGGCATGTGGGCCAAGCAAAACCTGATTGTGTGGGCCAGAGCTGGGCCAGAGAAATTTTGCTATGTGGGTAGTTGTTGTGGATTGTCCTGTCTCTACAGATTTGGTAAGTGAAAGACCAGTGGTCTTTGTTTATTTAGATGGCAAAGTTAGTTCATATCGAACTATTACACCGAGTGTAAACATGTTAGCACCGCAACCAAACTATCACTGTAGTGTAGGATTTTCACCGCATTTTGTGACTGGAATAACACACGCGGCTTTCTGACGCTACCTGCCGAGTGCATCTAAGTTACAGAGAAATGCGGAAGTTTTTTTTTCCTCATTCGCCGTGCGGTATCAAACATTGCATGAAAAATACACGCTTAGAGCAGTTCCTCAAATCAAATATCTCGTTTGTCGCGAGGGGCATGAATGAAATTCCTGAATGAAAGAGCCAAACTGCAGTTAAAGTCCACCATTTAATAATTTGGCAAATAATTTGATTACTGATGTCCAGGTAAACACTGTCACTTTCTCCCCTGTGTGTGTGTGTGTGTGTGTGTTTGACTCTGAAACTCAGCGCGTGCCCAAATCGACACTCCCATATCATCCCACTTTTCTTCCTCCGACACTCCCCCCTAAACAGAGCTGGACACGGCCACTTTCCTGACTTTTTCCAAAGTAGAGGTGTGAAAACACACTGCTGAAACGAGGGGGTTTGGCCCTTTAAAGCTAAACCCTGCAGGGCCACCGGCCATCGAGGACTGAGATTGGTGACCCCTGCTCTACACCATAATAATGAATTATTGTGGTCTAAAATCTGGTGCTTCAGTTTCATTGTTCAACCCCTGTATATTATGTAAAGAGGTACACTAATTACAAATACAAAAGAAAAGAAAAAAACTAACAAAAGAATACAATAGTCAGAGAATCAAATCATTATCAGTTACAGAAAACAAAATGGAGAGGGCTTGTGTTTAGTCTGTGGACTGGGAAATAGCCTATTCATCAAAATCTTTCCAAACCCTCATTCACAATCTAGTAGATGTTTTGATGATATCCACATAATTTGCATCCTGTTTTGGACATTTCCTACTGACCGAGTTTCCCTCTCTCGTCTCATTTGATCCCTCTCTTCCTGTCTCTGATAAACATTGGCACACTAGTGTGACTATACGCAAGTTCAGCTGAATCTCTGCCAGCTCGAGGTCCTTTGCAAAGCATCATGGGATCAACTCCGACTTCTTGAGAAGGATGGAAAGAAGAGGAAAGGTGGAGGAAGGAAAGATGGATGTGTGGAAGAGGCATCATCCCTCCATCAACAGCTCCACCAATTTCTGAAAGACTGCGAGGAAAGACTGAAGGTGCTGCGAGCTGTTTACCGCAGAGTCATCAACAGGTAAAACGCACAAAATAACACCTAGAGCTGGGTAGATTACTTTTGAAGTGTAATCCGATACTGATTACAAATTACATGAGATCATTTGTTGTCAATAATATAATCACTTTCTGTACACATTTATAGGAATATAATGTGATTACTTTTGGATTACATTTAGATTTATAGCAATGTAATCCAATCACATTTAAATTTATGGCAATGTAATCCAATTACTTTTATATTACATTTAGATAATGTAATCCAATTACTTTTGGATTACATTTAGATTTATAGCAATGTAATCAAATTACATTTAGATTTATGGCAATGTAATCTGATTACTTTTGGATTACATTTAGATTTATAGCAATGTAATCCAATTACTTTTATATTACATTTAGATAATGTAATCCAATTACTTTTGGATTACATTTAGATTTATAGCAATGTAATCAAATTACATTTAGATTTATGGCAATGTAATCTGATTACTTTTGGATAATATTTAGATTTATAGCAATGTAATCCAATTACATTTAGATTTATGGCAATGTAATCTGATTACTTTTGGATAATATTAAGATTTATAGCAATGTAATGCAATTACATTTAGATTTATGGCAATGTAATTAATTACTTTTGGATTACATTTGGATTTATAGCAATGTAACCCAATTACATTTAGATTTATGGCAATGAAATCTGATTACTTTAGGATTACGTTTAGATTTATCGCAATGTAATCCAATTACTTTTGGATTACATTTAGATTTATAGCAATGTAATCCAATTACATTTAGATTTATGGCAATGTAATCCAATTACTTTTTCATTACATTTAGATTTATAGCAATGTAATCCAATTACATTTAGATTTATAGCAATGTAATCTGATTACTTTTGGATTACATTTAGATTAATAGCAATGTAATCCAATTACATTTAGATTTATGGCAATGTAATCCAATTACTTTTGGATTACATTTAGATTTATAGCAATGTAATCCAATTACATTTAGATTTATGGCAATGTAATCCAATTATTTTTAGATTACATTTAGATTTATGGTAATGTCATGCAATTACTTTTGGATTACATTTGGATTACTTTTGTGCTAACACTTATTTGATGTCACAAAAATTGAAGTGAGGTAATCTTGTACTATTTTAACAAGCCATAAATAACTTTCATTCTTTATCAGCAATCTGTCTCAATAGCTTCTTATTACATTGCAATATATCAACACCTAAAATACTTCATATTACCAACGCTAATATACTTTAGATCCATCAAAAGGTAAAACCCACAAATTAATACCCAGAGCTGGGTACATTACTTTTGAAATGTAATTTGATACTGATTACAAATTACATGAGAACATTTGTAGTCAATAATATAATCGCATTACATACACATTTATAGAAATGTAATGGGATTACTTTTGGATTACATTCAGATTTATGGCGATGTAATCCTCTTACATTTAGATTATGGCAATGTAATCTGATTACTTTTATATTACATTTAGATTTATGGGATTGTAATCCCATTACTTTTGGATTACATTTAGATTTATGGCAATGTAATCTGATTATTTTTGGATAACATTTAGATTACTTTTGTGCTAACGCTTGATTAATATATTGAAGTAGGACAATCTAGTACAATTTTAAAGAAAGAAAGAAAAAAATCTTTCATTCTTTATCAGCAACAGATCTCAATAGCATTTTTTTAAAGTGCAATGTATTGATACCTAAAAAAATACTGAAAAATATTAACACTAATATACCTCTCGAGTCTTAATGCACTATGTAATATACCTCATTATTATTGTAACTCTGACTAAAACACAACCAATCAAACCTTATACTATTGAATAGATTACACTTAACTATTTAAGTACATTTAAAAAAAACAGCATCATTACAAAAAAATTATATTGAATAACATAAAATTCACAGCAATATCACTGCTAAATCAAATGTTTCTATTTATGACAATGACGTAGTCAAAAAAGTAATCCCCCCCCCCCTCACTCAATGCACTTAAAATGAAATCATGTCTAGTGGCAACATTTTAAAACAATGTTTAAACAGCCAAAAATGCTGTATTATGTATGACAGGCCAGTCATCTTGTTAGTAAACAGTACCTGTAGAAAAGTGACGAAGTGGTCGGCGCCAGTGGTGTAGTAGTTAGTGCGTCAACACATGTATTCCGGTGCTCGTGGTGACCCGGGTTTGATTCCGCCTCGTGGTCCTATGCCAATCCTTCCCCTCTCTCTGCTTCCCTGTCAATTCTGTACTGTCCTGTCAAAAATAAAGGTGAAAACCCCAAAAAAATAATTAAAAATAAATAAATAATTAAAATAAAATTAATAAAAAAAGGTGATGAAGTGCCGTCATTATCTTTTTATTCCAAAAAATGAAGTTATCGTGTAAACAAACAGGGAAAGCATATAAAAGTCATCCGACTGTTCCACTAAACAACATAAGACAATTAATCCAGCTATTAGGCTGGATACAACTTTTTCAGTCCGTGCGTGATTTCACACCCCTCCCTCTCTGCGCTGAATAAGCAATAAGAATCAAAAATGTATATAAGCAACAGGTTTATAATGACAAAAAATGGATTGTAACTTACTTACCAATGTGTAAATAACATGTAATCTTGTAATCCATAAAAATTTAACTGTAGTCAGATTATGAGAATTTTAAATAGTAGTTCATCTACATTTGATTTTTGTAATCTGATTGCATATAATCCATCACTACCCACTCTGTTAATGCCAATGCATCTTTCATTAAACAAATTTGCACTGAACCACATGCAAAAAGTTATTTTGCTCTCTTTTATTATTATCTATTTGTGTTTGTTGCTCTCCACTTATTTCTTCCTTGCCCTCAGATTCCACTCGTTCCTGCTGTTCCTGGGTTACTCGCGCTCCATGGTGAGAGAAACCAGTGCAGAGGCGTTTTGTAAGACCGTCAGCGACTTCGCTCTGGAATACAGAGCCACTCGCAGTGCTATCCTCCAACAGAGGGAGAAGGAGAAAGAAAAGGAAAAAGGGAGGAAGAAAGACAGCCAAAGCACACCTGAATTCAAAATCAAACTCCAGCAAAGTCCATCTGATGTAAGTGTCAGACATCTTTCACTACAGACAGTTCAGGGGTAGAGTTGTCACAATACTGGAATTCGATACCAATCCGTACTGAAGTTTTAAAAATGTCTATTTCCTGCGAACATTTAAGCGCTGTTGAGCACGTTCTTAAACAGCGCTGATTTGCCATTGTGCACATGCTCAACAGAAATGACTGTGATTAGCCGTGAAGGTCACCGGTTCACCGAACTAACTGCACAGTGGTTGTAACCACAGATACAGTGTGGTACATTCCCTTTGCTTAAATACTCCATCATTGTAAATTTGTTTTAAGACTGGTAAAAGGGTTTTAAGTCTGGTTCATTTTTTTTCCTAAAATGTAAATTAGTTTCGTCCTTGGTATAATCGCTTCTCCTGTGTAATTGTGTCTTATGATAGGTACAGATATTTTCCAAAATGTATATTTGTCTCAAGCTTTATAAACGTGTTTCACACTTTGTAATGTTGTTTTGCACTTCCCGGCCACCATACTTAAATGTTTGCGGGAAATGGACGCTTTTAAAACTTCAGTAGCGATTGGTATCAAATTCCAGTATCATGATAACCCTAGTTCGAGGATAATGTGTTTCAAGTAAATCTAAGGGTGCTTTCACACCTGTGAATCGATTCAGTTGTTCTGAAACAGAGATTACAATTGTTACATTGTTGCTCTTTGCTCTTGGAGCGGTTCACTTTCACACTGCAAAGTTTCTAATCGGACCAAAAGAGCTAAAAACAAGTCACGTGCGAGTAAAATCTCCTCACATTGGTCAGAGTGTCAGGGTTTATTTTGCAGCGTCCCGCTCAGCTGTCAGGAGAGGTGGTGGTTTAATGGTGATTGACAGGGTGCACGACGTGTCTGAGGAGAGATGCGGTGGGGAGGGGTGAGAAGGATGCGCGACGATGCCTATTTGAGGACCGGGAGGGAGACGCGAGATTACCGGGAGATCATCACTCGTTTGCGGGCATCCGGAGACTCGCGAAACTTCCCGCCATGCTCAAAATTCTCTCTTCATATAGCCGTAAGCCTATTACATATCCATAAAACACTGTGATATAACCGCGCTCGGATCGGATCGCTTTCTCACTGTAATCGAACCGCTCCAGGATTCGTTTCAATCGAGCCGAGACCACCTCATTCAAGCGATCTCGGAGCGATTACTTTGGCGCGGAACAGAGCGCGATTGCCCTGTTCACATATGCCAAACGAACCGCGCTAACTGGGCAATCGAGACACGTTCCGAAACAAAAGTGTAGGTGTGAAAGCACCCTAAGTTACGTAATCAGATTACTTTTTAAAGCTTACTAGTTATTTAAAGATGATCTCTATCTAGAAGCTAACTTGTTATACTAAGGGAGGGGATGATACAAAATTGCATAGAACCTATGCTTGCCATGCAGGGTAGCAAACTAAAGTTTAAAAATAAAATACCTCAGGTTTTCACTATACTTTTGGCATCTTTGTGTCCTTTGTGAAAATAATGGAAAAAATATTTGTGTTTTTATTCCACTAAACGGACTCTGATGGTTAATTTCAGAGTTTTATTAGATCAGTTACACAAGCTGGATTCACTGGTCAGATGCACTGGAAACGCAGCACACTGAGGACATCTGCTGGTTAGCAGGGGGAAATGGAAAAAGACACAAACTAAAAACAAACATTGTTATGTTCTGCTGTTTTTGAACACATATATAGTTGTCGTTGTATTTATATTTACCATGCTCGGTCAGAATATCTTCAAATGAATAAAAAATGAGAAATTCAAACTGAATATGCATTAGGAGTATTACATATTCTTTTTACTATCCTATATTTCATGTATAACCCTCAAAGGTTCGATTGAGCTGCTCTTCAAACTCCACAGTCGTGATTTTACATTTATTTTAGCCTGACGTTTATTAACCTCACAATTCATTTTTGGTTTAATATATATGTATATTACTCACCTTTACTAGTTACTTTTTTATAGAATAACACAAGATTGTAATGCATTGATATTAAAATAAACTTTCCGAAACACTGAAAATAAATTGCTGAAATAATTTTTCCAACATTTATTCATCTACTTATTTTCTTTCTGGCTAAGTCTCTTTATTAATCAGAGGTCAGTCCAGTGGATTAAACTGCCAACTTATCCAGCATATGTTTTATGTAGGGGATGCCCTTCCAGCCACAACCCAACACTGGGTAACACCCATACAGACTCATTCACACACATACACAACGGGCAATTTAGCTTACCCAACTCACCTATAGCACATGTCTTTGGACTTGTGGGGTAAACCGGAGCACCCGGAGGAAACCCACACCAACACGGGGAGAACATGCAAACTCCACACAGTAATGCCAACTGAGCCAGCCGAGGTTCGAACCAGCGACCTTCGTGCTGTGATGTGATCATGCTTCCCACTGCTATAAGCTACATCCCTGCTGAAAAATCCATCTTAAATCAGCCTAGGCTGGTTGGCTGGTTTTAGCTGGTCGACCAGGCTGGTTTTAGAGGGGTTTTGGCCACTTCCAGGCTGGTTTCCTGCCATTTCCAGCCTGGTCTTAGCTGGTTAGGCTGTGAGATGACCAGCTAAAACCAGCTTGACCAGCCTAGCAGGCTGGGAGCCCAGCCAAAACCAGCTATGTCCAGCTTAAACCAGGCTGGTCAAGCTGGTTTTAGCTGGATTTAGCTGGTCATTTTCCAGCCTGACCAGCTAAGACCAGGCTGGAAATGGCTGGAAACCAGCCTGGAAATGGCCAAAACCCCTCTAAAACCAGCCTGGTCGACCAGCTAAAACCAGCCAACCAGCTGGTTTAAGCTGGATTTTTTTAGCAGGGATAACTTTAGTTTTTGATGCTTTTTTTTTATTAAGAGGACTTTCCTTTTTGTGTAGGAGAATCAAGAGCAGGTGAAGCTTGAGGAGGTTTTGAAGACTCCTGATTCTTCATCATCCTCATCTTTCCACTTTGACTTCACTCTTCCACGACAACGCAGCAAGTCGAGCGACAAGAAAGGTATTATAAGTGTTGACACATGCCTCAGATGCAGTCAAGTACAAGAAAAAAAAGTATTATTTTAAAATAAATGTAATGTCGTTCATTCCAGGTTTTCACTCATCCCGAAGGCTGAAGTGGTGAACACCATGCCGTCCACATGCCCACAAAAGGGTTGATGTTTGAGCTTGTCGTCCATTTTATATTGTTCAGTATGAGATAAAACTTGAATTATTGTTATTTGAAGGGTACTTTATGTAGCATTTTTACAGTTTTAGTACATTAATGGTACTGTGCTGTAAACTACAACACTCTGTTTTTAGCCATTTTACTTGTCATCATTTCTCGTAACTATGATTTTGATGAAAGCATTAGCATAACAGATTTGTTTGGAAAATGTGCTTAGCTGTTTAGTCAAGTCAAATAAATGTGTTTATTCAAACAACCCACATGAAGATATGCTTAAGTAAATAATGTTAAATGATGTGTTTGCTAGTGTAAGAACTGGTACATCAGTTAAACTTTATTTTTTAACTACAGTATTATAATATAAAAGAAAACTACCTTATTTTGGTTTATATTATTGTTACGTTACATTAGCAATTCTTTAATTAGCTCAAAAACACTAGTATTTTATTCATATGAAAGTGCTTGTTTACAAATTATTCTAACAGTTTTAATCAACCTTGGGTACTAATAATATTGTTCGTTTTATACACGATATTAAATAAATACAGTATTTACTACGAAATGTTTTTGTGACTGTAAAAAATGCCACGAAAACAATGACTGAGTAATAGCAAACGTTTTGTTGTAATAAAAAAAAGTTTTTAAATACCACCGAACATTTTTGTAATAGCTGAGCAGCTTTATTTCAGATTAACAGCCTGTAAATTATTATAAACAGGGCTAAAAAGGCTTTTGTAAAGCGATTACAGCTCTGTGGGAGGATTCTAAACAAATCCTGCCTTAACCAATCAAGCGAGGATTTGAGTTAAAGAAACACGATGGACGTCTTCATCCACCAATCGCTACCGCGTGTTTCACCAGCTTGCTGAAATGTAGCCAATGAGATTGGAGGATATGCAGAGCGGGGCGGGGCTTATTTCAGTGCGCTTTTGGTCTCCGCCATTTCGTGCACTCGCCTGTCGGTCGGTGTCTACTGAACAAGCTGATACGGACTGTATCCACAAAACAGTACAGCACCGAATTTTAATCATTTTTAGTCTTAAACTCCCGGTGAGTATTTTGATTCGAGAGATTTTTTGTCACCTTTTTTATTTTTTGACTGACTTTGAACTATCTTTGGAGAATTTTTGGTGTTTTTTTTGTTTTTAATGCATTTTTCTGGTCGTTTTCTGCTTGGCTTTGGTGGCGTACATTTTGTGATGCTGTGTAGACGGTGAAAACCCTGTTTGTTTTGAGAGGATCGCACGATTTTTATTTGATTTTTTTTTCAAAGTAGGAGTTATTTTTCACACGATCTTTTTGCAGGACGTCTGCTAGAGCAGCTGGGTTGTTTGATTTTTGGAGTTAATGTGGAGGATTTGTTTCGTATGGACTGGTGGTTGTGTTTTCAAGATGGGGTCGTTTTTCCCTCCCTGACCGGGATTCAGAATATAAACGCGTTTTAAATCCATTTTTAGGATGACAGACTGCTTTCCCCAACACGAGTAGACTGTTTTTATTCAGCTGTAGACGTTTTGGACTGAGTTTGTCCTTTTTAATGCGGTTATTTGTTCGGTATTTTTGCTCCTGTTTTTGAGGGTCGTTGCGTTCCAGCGGGGAAATTTTTGAGAAATGTGAATTTTCAGGCGACGTTTTTGCAGGTTTTGGCACTTTTAATGGACTGAGACACGTTTTCTGTCACTTGCAGTAATCTTTAATAATGCATGGACCATTTAACTCCGTTCATTTGCTTCCCAGGTCTATGCGACATGTGTAAACGGTCAATCTTTCCATTAAAAGTACATCAATGTTGAATCGAGCTGGTTGCATTAATATTGAATAAATGTGTCAAGAAGGACAGAGTTCCTCTGTGCTCCTCAAGTGCCCCATGCTGAATTAATTACATCATTTGTGTGTACAGTCCAATGACAAAGCTCCCATGGGTGTCCTGTAAAATGGTTTGATATGAATATTATATTATTTCCCTCTTCCCACCATACCAACAGGCTTACTTTTGAATGGAGTTTCACATTAGTATGTTGTCAAAGTTTTGCTTTTCTGTGTTTAATATAAGCATTTATCTTATTTTTCCCCCATTGTATTGGTTTTATATGAATATGTGGAATGCACCAAGTCTCACATGTTAGCATCACACATCACCAGCTAAAACTTGATCATAGCAGTATATGGTATACAGTTAAAGTCAGAATTATTAGCCCCCTTACATTTTTTTCTTCTTTTTTAAAATATTTTCTAAATGATGTTTAACAGAGTAAGGACATTTTCATAGTATGTCGGATAATATTTTTTCTTCCGGTGATAGTCTTATTTGTTTTATTTCAGCTAAAATAAAAGTAGTTCTAAATTTTTTAAACACCATTTTAGGGACAAAGTAATTAGCCCTTTTAAGCTATATTTTTTTTCGATTATCTACAAAACAAACCACTGTTATACAATGACTTGCCTAATTACCCTAACCTGCCTAGTTACCCTAATTAACCCAGTTAAGCCTTTAAATGTCACTTTAAGCTGTATGGAAGTGTCTTGAAAAATATCTAGTAAAATATTATTTACTGTCATCATGGTAAAGATCAAAGAAATCACTTATTAGAAATGAGTTCTTAAAAATATTATGTTTAGAAATGTGTTGAAGAAATTTTCTCTCCATTAAACAGAAATTGAGGAAAAAATAAATAAGCGGTCTAATAATTCAGGGGGGCTAATAATTCTGACTTCAACTGTATGTTTAGATCAGGTGTTCCCAAACATGAGATATTTATCGAAGATATTTGGTACAAGGATCAACCATAAAATCAAAACAATTTTTCCATTTTAATCAACACTACAAAAAAACAATAATAATTATAGTTCAGGTGCAAAAACCTCTAAGTGCTGTTTGAAATTTCCATCGAAAATGAATATCTCAGCCTCCTTTGTTTATGTTGAGTTATTTCACTTTAAAGACCACAAATAAAGGGCTTAATCTATGCCATAAAATTGATATTACGGAACCTATATTCAGGATCCGGATACAAATGTTCATTTTAGAAGAAGAAATGGCATCTGAATTTGAGGTTTATAAATATATATTTTAAATAAAATCATTCTCAGTATTTAGCTTTTTCTGTTTTGAATGGCATCATAGGACTTCTTGATTTCTCTGTCGACAACTTTTGATGTTGAAAAGGTGACTTTTATTGACATTGTTAATAGTTCAAGTAATATATTTTTGGGATTTATCTTTAAAAATGTATACAAAATCCAGGAGTTTCATTCATAAACATGGCTTGTATACATAAAATGGGGACGGCAATGTGCACACAACACTTTCCACGCAAACTGTTTTCATGGCAAGGTAAACATTTGCACAGAATTGCTCATATATATATATATATGTATGTATATATATATGTATGTATATATATATATATATATATATATATATATATATATATATATATATAAAATTTATATACATAAATAATCTGTAGAATTACAGAAAAAGTACTGGTAATTTATTACCAGGAGTCTTGTTTATAAAAGGAGAACATATTACGGAGTAAATTTATTTATTAATAATTATGGCTCATTTGTTGATTTAAAGAGGGATTGGATTGGAATAATAAGTCAATATTCAAGTTAAATATGTTTACTTGCAGATGCGCACATTCTGCCATCTATTTATTCTTATTTTATAAATTACAACCTGTCAATAAAAGTCACCTTTTCAACATCAAAAATTGTCGACAGAGAAATCAAAGGCCTGATGCCACTAAAAAAAAAAAAAAAAGCTACTATACATGGTTAATGTATGTGTGTATATATATATAAATGAGCAATTCCATGCTAATTACAAACTTGCCATGAAAAAAAAAAAAGTTTTCACCAAAATACGTAAACCGTTTCTGGGTTTTTTGTGTGAGCAAGTATTTTACAGAACTTTATAAATACTCAGAAATGTCTCTGTCAATGTTTTTAAACTATTATATTGGATTTACCAAAGTCACACAAGTGGCAATTTCACATCTGCCACATCCATAACAGAGAGACGTCACATCCATAACAACACACTCACACATGAACATTTACTCAAAGGAAAAGAACCACCAAAATGCCATTATTGCAACAGAAACCAAACAGTTAAACGTATTCTTGTGGAATGCCCCATTTTTAATGTTATCAGACAACAATATTTATCTGGAGAGACTTTAAAGGAAATGTTTTTTAAACGTGAATCCATCTAAAGTTGTAGAATTTTTATCAAAAGGAAATCTTAAACTTTAAAATTTTTATCTTGTATATTATCATTAATATTATTATTTATATATTTTACTTTGTACATTATTTATTGCTGTTGATGACTTTTAATTGTTAGAATATTTTTACTTGATCTATTTTCTTTTTGCAATGACATAGCCATAGAAGCTGAAATGGCAATGAAATTAAAACACCCTCTCTCTCACTCCATAACAACACTTTTTCATCATAAAAGCAAAAAGATTAAACAAAACCAATGATGTTTGTTCTATAGAGAGCTAACCTTTAACCTTATGATTATAATTTTTTTCTTTTGGGTTGTGCAGTTTAATTCCTAGAATTTCTACAAAGTATGTTGTATACTGTAACTCCGCAGACCTTTTTCATCTCATCCATAATGCATGTGTATTTTCCTAATTTAAAATATAAAAAAATGCATATATATTTATATTTTTCTGCTTCTATAACTCTGGTCAGTTCTGTGAAATAGAAACCGATGTTTCAATATAATGTTAACATATACTTTTCTATGTGAATTTATGTTTTGAGTTTTTACCGCAATGTCACATCCATAATGCTGGAATTGCTCATATATATATATATATATATATATATATATATATATAGTGCTGTTAATCGATTAAAAAAATTAACTAATTAATCGCACCTTTTTAAAAAAATTAATCGCGATTAATCGCATTTAAAATATTAAAACTTGTAATTTCGTATACATTCACATAAGATACCAATACTCCGATTTTAATATGATTAAGATTAAACTCTTATTAAAATTCTACCGTGTAGCCTTAAAAGGAACCTTACCTTAAAGGAACACAGAGTCACGAAATGCGGAGGATTTTCTTTCTGTTCGCCATGCGGTATCAACTTACAACAGAAGTCGAAAGTTAAAAATGAAACACCCGAAATTGCATGAAACTCTGGATAACCTGTGATGCAACTAATTGTTTTATACTGTAACTTGCCTTCAAAAAGTGCTTCCTTGGTCTTATCCAAATTAATTGCATGTTAAACACACGTCCACCACAACAGGAAGTAAAAAAAAAAACCTGCAACTGCGTTAATTGCGTTAATTTTTTTTTACGCGTTAATTATTTAAAATTAATCGCATGCGTTAACGTGTTAATTTTGACAGCGCTAATATATATATATATATAAATATATATATATATATATATATATATATATATATATATATATATATACATACATACATACATCATACATACATACATACACATACATACATGCATACATACATACAGCTGAGTTATGTTTTAACATCAAAATTTCAGATCAAGGCCCTCATAATTTATTACATTAAAAAAAGAAAACGCTTGTTAATCACAAAATATGGAAACATTAGAGTTTCAACTGATCCTTCCCAAATACTATAGTGTAAATGAGATTGATCCAGTGTTTCCACACATCAACGTCCAGCTTTTTCCACTGAATTTGGTCCACACTCTTTAATTAACATTGGTCTAGAATAGATTAAACACTATTTGCCTTTGTAAACAACACACATTTACCATTTTAATGTCATGGGGTCACAGTTTACACCAAATCTGTGCATTCAGGTGGTTTAATTGGTTGTGTATATTCACATAAGTCCCTGCTAGTCAGTTGAAAGGGATCGTAGATATTAAGAACTGATTTTTTGTTTTGTTTTTATTTTGCTTTTTTGTAGTTTTTGAGGAAGCTTTTTTGACCCGCATCAATCCGTAAGTTGTTTTTTATTTAAATTTTTTTTATTCTCCACTTCTGCAATTTTCCTGACAAGTGTTTGATGTAGACTAGACTCCCGTTTGCGGCTTTGTCTACATCCATCACTTTGTTCAAAACTGTTGTAGAGTAGCAAACACTTCAAAAACAATCACAAAACCTGTTTTTGTTGTATTTATATTGGTACAATCGGAGAATAGCACGGTTACTGGAGGTTTTAAAGTTTAAATACAAACAACATTTCTCTGAATCCCACCCTCTGACACTAAGAAATGCCATTATTATTACATAATTATTTGTTTAGTATACTATATGGGGCAAATACAAGATTTCTTGTCATTAAAATCTGTATACGGGTCATTCTACAGAAATGTTTGCATTTTTTTTGTCACTAGATTTAGCCGCAATATTACATTCGAAAAAAATCTTTAGGTTTACAATTATTATTTTTTTATTAATTTAAAAAGAAACTGAGCAATTAACACCCTTTTGAGTTATCAATGTGGCAATAATTGTGTTTTAATTACAATACAGAAGGAAAGTGCTTTATTTTGAGATCAAAACAGATTTTTCTTCCTTTCAAAATAGGAAAATAGCCAATGTAAATTACATAAAAAATTAAATCCTTAAATAATAATAATAATAATAATATATATA